AAAGAGCCTAAATGTCCATCAACTGATGAATGGAGAAAGAAATTGTGGTTTATATACACAATGGAGTACTACGTGGCAATGAGAAAGAATGAAATATGGCCCTTTGTAGCAACGTGGATGGAACTGGAGAGTATGATGCTAAGTGAAAGAAGCCATACAGAGAAAGACAGATACCATATGTTTTCACTCTTATGTGGATCCTGAGAAACTTAACAGAAACCCATGGGGGAGGGGAAGGAAAAAAAAAAAGAGGTTAGAGTGGGAGAGAGCCAAAGCATAAGAGACTCTTAAAAACTGAGAACAAACTGAGGGTTGATGGGGGGTGGGAGGGAGGGGAGGGTGGGTGATGGGTATTGAGGAGGGCATCTTTTGGGATGAGCACTGGGTGTTGTATGGAAACCAATTTGACAATAAATTTCATATTTTGGAAAAAAAAGCAAAAAAAAAAAAAAGAGTCTCCTATGGTTTGGCTCCCTCCCTAACATTTTTTTTTCTTCCCCTCCCCCATGGTCTTCTGTTAAATTTCTTAGGATCCACATAAGAGTGAAAACATATGGTATCTGTCTTTCTCTGTATGACTTATTTCACTTAGCATAACACTCTCCAGTTCCATCCACGTTGCTACAAAAGGCCATATTTCATTCTTTCTCATTGGCATGTAGTATTCCATTGTGTATATAAACCACATCTTCTTTATCCATTCATCTGTTGATGGACATTTGGGCCCTTTTCATAATTTGGCTATTGTTGATAGCACTGCTATAAACATTGGGGTACATGTGCCCCTATGCATCAGTACTCCTGTATCCTTTGGATAAATTTCTAGTAGTGCTATTACTGGGTCGTAGGGTAGTTGTATTTTTAATTTTTTGAGGAGCCTCCACACTGTTTTCCAGAGCAGCTGCACCAGTTTGCATTCCCACCAACAGTACAAGAGGGTTCCCGTTTCTCCACATCCTCTCCACCATCTATAGTCTCATTTTAGCCACTCTGACTGGCGCTAGCACCCCTGTTTTTAAATATTTTTTGGGGGGGTTTCTATTGTTGTCGTTTTTTTTCTCCTTGATAAGAGTAAATGCATATATCTGTAGACTAAAAGTAACCTTACCATCTATTGTGTGAAATCACAGCCCTACTCTCTTCCCAGTATAATTTTCATTATTTTGGAGATGTCTGTCTGTTGTCTCTGGAAGCTTCCTGGATCCTTTTTTCTTTTTTGCCCTAAACTTTCACAAAAATGTGTCTGACCCTTCTTTCACCGTTCACAGTGCTGAATATTCTGCAGACACTTCCAATCTGAAGATTTCTGTGTTCTGGAGCCGTGAGAAAATCTATTATTTTATTGATATTTTTCTCTTTTCCCCCCCCCCCCATAACCTTTTAGTCTTTGATTGACTATGTCTTTTACTCTTTGTCTCTTTGCAAATTTTTATGAAGAGGGATTTTACTTTTGGGGAAGTGCTTTCAAATTAAAGTGGGTGATGGGCATTGAGGAGGGCACCTGTTGGGATGAGCACTGTGTGCATATGGAAACCAATTTGACAACAAATTATAGTTAATATAAAAAACAAAACAAGACAAATCATTCATGTAGAAAATTGTTATTTTAAGACTTTATTTTAAAATAAGTATATAAGGGGGTGCCTGGGTGGCTCAGTCGGTTGAGCACCTGACTTCGTCTCAGGTCATGATCTCACAGCTCGTGGGCCTAAGCTCCGTGTCGGGCTTTGTGCTGACAGCTCAGAGCTGGAGCCTGCTTCGGATTCTATGTCTCCCTCTCTCTCTGCCCCTCCCCCACTCACATCCTGTCTGTCTGTCTCTCAAAAAGAAACATTAAAAAATAACAATAATTAAAAAAAACAAGTAAATAAAAATCAATAATAAAATAAAAAATAAAATAAAAATAAATTTAAAAAAATGAAAACTATTTGATGTTCCTTTTTACAGTATTCTGTTTTTGTCTTATGGGCGCAATTTCTTCTTGAAGACTGGATTTTTTTTAGAGTTCTCCTGTGACTTCTGAAATGCTCATGTTTCCTGTGGACTCTTTTTTTTTTTTTAATTTTTTTCAACGTTTTTATTTATTTTTGGGACAGAGAGAGACAGAGCATGAACGGGGGAGGGGCAGAGAGAGGGAGACACAGAATCGCAAACAGGCTCCAGGCTCTGAGCCATCAGCCCAGAGCCTGACGCGGGGCTCGAACTCACGGACCGTGAGATCGTGACCTGGCTGAAGTCGGACGCTTAACCGACTGTGCCACCCAGGCGCCCCTCCTGTGGACTCTTATCTCTGTGTGTATTCTCTTTCAAGGTGCTGATCTGTCTGATGATTCTGGCTATAGTTTCATATTTAAGGATGAAGGACCGGGTTGTGGCGAACTGTCGGAGACAGTGACTGTGCTCTTGACCAGGCCATTTTACTCCTCCATCCGTCTCCCCAGGAATGAGAAGTGTGCCTGGCAGCTCTGTGTCAGTGAGTAGGGCTCCTTGGCTGGAAGATTTTGCATTTAGATGTAGTAATGGCAAGTTAGCCGTTGGACTGGGCTCCCCCAACCCAAATGTTAAGTTGAGGACAGCTTTGTTTTGAAGCACCCACATCCATACTCTAGTCTTGGTCCCATCCAGAAGACCTGTGATTTCCTCCTGTACACACACGTGTGCACGTGCACACACACACTCACATGCACGATGGGTGTACAGAAACTTCAGTGCCCCTATCAATCATCTCTTTGCTTTCTATAATGCAAGTGCAATGAATGCCTGGCTCTAAGTAAAAACGCAACAGTTGTTTTAAAGGACTGTATCATAGCAGTGTATAGCTTTACATATTTACTCCTGAGGATTCACCCTCATTAAGATATGGTCTCGGTACCCAAGCAGCTAATAGTCTACCTTCTAATGGAAGATAACACATGTGTAAACAAATTGCTGTAATAAAGAGAGGTAAGTGTGATAGAAAGTGTTTCTACAAAATGCTGGCTGTGCTGAGGAAGAGACGTTGAGTGTGAACTAGGGGTGGGGGCAGGGAGAGTGGAAAAGCTGCAGAGAGCATGAGACCCTGGAGCTGGATGCTGAGATCTGAATCCTGGGTCTCCTTGGGCAAGGACTTTGCCTGCTTCCTCCCCTGTAAAATGGGCATATGACCCTAGCTCTGACCTCACAGGGTTTTTGTGGGCATTAGATGAATTACTTACATACGATAGTTGAACTCCGTGCATATTAGGTCCTGTTGTCATTGCTATTATTTCCTGATGTGGCCTTGATGGGTTCAATAGCCACTGAAAGGGCAGATGGTTATTGCTGGGAAGGTCATCCCAGTGAGTAAGGGCACACTTGGGTGTCCCTGTGGCTGGGGTACGGGGCTCTGGGCGTGATTGCATCACGGGAGGCCCCGGTGCAGGCCGAGGTGCGTCTACATTCTCCTGTCATCAGTTCTGCTAGTCTTGGTGTGCATAGAGTGTCAGGGGGTCTCTAACCTACACACACTCTAAAACTTGTAGGGACCCCATAGATGGCACGGACAAGATAGGAACAATAACATACACACGTGTCTCCCTTCAGAAAACAAGGTGGGAGGGGACGGGATGGAAGCAGTTGAATGACATTTGTCCTGGCCTGGGACCAGGCTGGGGTCCAGAATGGATTAATGGGCCATTGCCAGAGGGGTTCAGCTTGTAGGTAACTTTGAATTACAGGATTTGGTCCGATGTGTGGAAGGTTTAGAAAGGTAGATTTTCGAAAGAATGAGGGTAAGCTTACTAACCACACAGAGCCACCGTAGAGATACGGGGGGGGGGGGGCCCTGCGAGGCCGCAGGGCCCGTCAGTGGGGCACCTGTGCACTTGCTGGCGGGCCCGTATCATCTAGGGCTTGGACCAACTGCACACGTCTGGGGCAGAATCCATTCGGTCCCTCTGGTTACAGAGTGTGGTCTTCCCGGCTTCCCTCCCCAGCAACGGCCATGCACTTACGCACTGCTGTGGAAATGTCAATACTGGGGACGAGAGGCTGGCTCCCAGCAAGAGCATCACACTAAGGCTCTAAGACCATTCTGCTCTCTAAGCCCACTCTGGCTTTAAAAAGTACCCGGGCTGCTCTCCGTGAGTACACATGGTCTACGCTCTTTTCTTTTTTCTTTTTTTTTTTTTTTTAATTTTTTTTAACGTTTATTTATTTTTGGGACAGAGAGAGACAGAGCATGAACGGGGGAGGGGCAGAGAGAGAGGGAGACACAGAATCGGAAACAGGCTCCAGGCTCCGAGCCATCAGCCCAGAGCCTGACGCGGGGCTCGAACTCACGGACCTCGAGATCGTGACCTGGCTGAAGTCGGACGCTCAACCGACTGCGCCACCCAGGCGCCCCAGTCTACGCTCTTTTCAAAGATAAAACTGTGCTGCTCATTCTTCTGCTTCCCGAGAACACCTGCAATCCCTCCCGAGGGCATCGTGAGGGGCCTCGCAAGTACCTGCCCCCCAAAAGCCTGGGCAGGACAGGAAAGATGGGGCGTGTGTTTTCGGACTCATCTCCTGCTCTCTGTATCCTGGTTTCTTTTAGGTCTTTGGGGGGGGGGGGGGGGACAGAACTGCTGTTTTATGGCTCTTATCATGCTTGTACCTACAGCTTCCCAAGCCCCACCGACATGATTTTTCTTTCTAGAGGCTCTTACAACTCAAGTCTCCAAGAATCATCGGTACGAGGCTTCAAATGATGTTGCCTTGAACAGATGCTTGGGGCTTGTATAAGGCTTCAAAGAATAAAAGTAAAATGCTATGTTCACAGCAAGGTGAGAACCTGAGGAACCGGGATGATCTCTCCCCTATCTGGCCAGCGCCCCTTGTTGACGATCTGGTTCGCCCTGCGGTTCCTGCTGGACTGTGCACAAGAACGGCGTGCCCCCAGAGCGCTAATCGCTTCGTTTGTTCTTCCATGTCGCCGGGGGAACCCGAGCTTGTTCAGCCTCAGGACAGGAACTATGAAGGAGTGACAGGTGCACCTCAGATTCCACTCGTTCACATATTTTATTTATCCAGTGAAGGGAGACAGAAAAGAGAGACAGAACTGGAAGGTGGCACAGATTCTGAGGGAATACCGCGGTCGCGCGTCCCTCCATCCGGTTTCGATCCACAGATCCAGTGAAAGTGCATAGGGACGAGACGAGCATCTTGCCGCAGCGTGAAACATCTTACTTGAGAGAGAAAACCCTTTTAAAAGTTAATACCGACTCACCTTGAGGATGGCTTACTTTTGTCTTTATAAAAACACGACAGCACTGTGTAAACTGCTGGGGTTGGATACTGACAGGTAAGTAGGTGCTGACTCAGAGTTTTCTGGGAGTGCAGATCTGAAACGGTCCCACTGAGGAGAGAGCCACGGGGACGTCGCAGACATGTCCTTGGAGAGACACGAGGACACACAGGAAAAGGGGAATCTCTGACACCGCAGTCCGGGATCTCTGTCACACAGATGGGGAAACTGAGGCAGGGAGGTTAAATCCCCCAAGGTCACACAGCTAGTCAGTAGTAGCATCTCGTTCCCTGGCCCGTGGACACTGCATAGATACCCCTAATGTTAATTTCTTCCCCAAGATTCTAAAGTTGGCAATTTTAGCTTTCCGAGTGCGGAGACAAAAAAAGAAAGAAAAAAACTGGAGAAAACAAACAAGCAAAAGATTTGTGGAGAACTCCAGTACGTTCGCATCTGATCTCAGTAACCTCATGTTAAGATGTCGTTAAAGGACTAACGTTTGGGTGACAATCACTAACGCGGGAGACGACAGAGTCACGATAACTGGGGGAGCTCCCGAGGGCGCCCGGGGGACACACGGAAGCACCCTTTCGGCAGCTTGGTGCAAGCAGACAGGTCGCCTCACCCCCACCTGAACCACCTGAACCACCTGCACGGAGCACAGGTGAGCTCAGCGCCCGGGCCGCCCGTGGCCGAGCCCCGGCGGGGGGCCAGTGAAGCCCGAGCCCCGGCGGGGGGCCACTGAAGCCCAAGCCCCATCATCTCAAAGCCTGCCCCCGTCCCCTGTGAACACCAAGTGACCAGAGAGGGGAGCCCGGGGTGGGACGCCTTTCAGGTTGCCGCTACAGGCTGCACATTTTGAACCCTGGACAAAGTGACCGGAATCTTGGTTTCCCCCGGGCCCGGAGCTTTTGTGATGGGCTGGGCGTGGGCCTTGATGTCTGCAATTCGCTCTTTAAACTTCTGCTGGAGGAACTTTTCTTCTTGGGAGTAGCTCTTGGCGAACACCGACATCAGCAGGCACCCTGCCATGGACGTGCCCCCGAGGCAGAAGAGAACGGCCCCCGCCAGCTTGCACACGTCAAGAGCGCTGTTAAACTGGACGGCATGGGTGTCGACCACCACAAAATCGGCTTCGCCGAAGGCTTCGATCTTGGGGGGCACGAGAAAGCCCGCCGCCAGGACAGTCAGTCCAAGGATCACGAAGACCGTGCCGGAGATGAGTCCGACCTGGAGAAAGACACAGCCAAGCAGGACAGGGTGAGCTCGGTGCTTGGGCTCTCCTGAGCCCTCCCAGGGCAGGCCTCGTTGTTGGGGGTAGTTAATATTCCATTCCCACTCACCCCAAATTTTAGGAGAAGGCTACATAACTTCCCAGTTATAAAAGAAGGTGAGGAGGGACCTTTCTGATTTTAATACCGACTGGAATCTGCAGCACTGCCCTGATTTTCCCTCTGAGCTGTTCGTACGATGCTTTGCAGCTGACAAGGCCACCTTTGGCTTCTGTGGTCTTCTTCGGTCTTTGTTTGTTTGTTTGTTTTAAATATCTGGGTTAAAAAAATTCTTTTTAAGGTCTTATTTTTGAGAGAGAGACACACACACACAGCATGTGAGCAGGGGAGGGGCAGAGAGAGAGGGAGACAGAATCTGAAGCAGCCTCCAGGCTCTGTCTGAGCTGTCAGCACAGAGCCTGACGGGGGGCTTGAACCCATGAACTAGGAGATCATGACCTGAGCCGAAGTTGGGCACTTAACCGACTGAGCCGCCCAGGCACCCCTCTCCTTTGGTCTTTGAAGAAGATTAAAGCAGGCCTGACATCCAGGAACTAGCCTAACTCTATCCACTAGACCTTGATGCCGTGGGAAGCTGGCCGGGAGCTCCCAGTGATGCCACATTGTTCTCCTTTGACAGGATTTGTGTCACAGAACATCAACATCAGACAGGCTCCCTCTGTACCCATGACGAAGTGACACAAAACAAGTCTGTGTCATCATTTTGTCTAAGCGCAGACAAAAACAAGGTCATTGTGCAAACCACAAAATATCAAATGCCTTCCCTTCCCCCCATTCATATAAATGACGGCTGCTTCATTACCAAGTACAGCTTTAGTCCCACCCTGGTCTGCCCTCCCTATAGATAATACTTGTTAATTATTTATTATCCAACCATAGAATCAGCCCTGACAATCCAGAGGGAACTCGGGCTCCTGTAGACCCCCTCCCCCCAAATCGCCCACCCAAGGCCCGCATCCTATAATACATCCTTCCTCATCCTCTTACTGAAATACCCTAGGAGACCCTCTGGTATCACCTCTCTCACTGTGATGAGTGATAAACTCAACTCGTCCAACATACAGGTATCTTCCTGGTGATTTGGATGGAGGTCACTGGCGATCGTATAACTATTCACCCATTTCCCAAGTTAGTGGGAAGGAACCATGACTGCTAGTTTGCAGGTCAGGAGATGTAGCCTTGAGGAGGGTAGGTCACTGCTAGCAAGTGGATGGAGGGATGGATGGATGGATGGAGTGGGGGAGGGATGGAGGGAGGGAGGGATGACAGCTAGCAAGTTGCGGAGTCAGGGCTAGAAGCCACAGATGTGAGCTCCAGGCCAGTGTCCTTTCTCCTCTCACATGTAGTTATTTGGGCTCTCCCCTTGCAGATGTTGAGAAGCTCTAGGAGTAGCAGGTGGAAGATGAGACTGCGTCAGCTCAGGTTGGAATAGAATGGAACACACGGAAGAGGGAGAGTATTGTTTGCTGTTTGGTGGCTTGGAGGTTGGGAATGAACAGATCCAGGCTTGGGTTCCAGCACCGCCAACCGGTACTTGAGTCATATGAGGAAACTTACTTAAACACTCTCACCGTTAACCTCCCCATCTACAAAATGATAAATGATAATCATACCTACTGCCTCGTGGAGTTCTAGCGAGGACTAAGTGAGGCCATGCTCAAAGGCGCTTAGCCCAGTGCCTGGCTAAGCAGTAAGTAGCTATTATGGTATCTACTTGGAAATGCATTCTTGTGAAATGTTGGCCACAGAGCTACAACAATCTCTGGGCACTTGGACCCCAGAACAGCTAATATAGTTACTTATTTTTTAAACACATTTTCATTGTCTCCTATTCCTAGCCAAATGCATAACACCATTTAATCTAGAGCTTTGAATTTAAACTATATTTATTTAACTTATTTATTAAGTTTCAGGGTGATACATCAGTAATTCTTTATTACTTTGGATAATAGAAGGAAAACATATTCACAAATCTGTCGGAGAGCTAGCTAGTATTATTGGGCGTCTATGAAGACCTAGGCACAGTGTTTGATGTTTTTCACTTGATCATCGCCAGCATCTTACAAAAAGTAGGTATTTTTTTCCCACCTCACCTGTAAGACCCTGGGGTTTGTAGGGTCGAAGAAGTGGAGGTCAAAGTCCTATAGCTAGCAGGTGGTGTGACTGGGCTCGAACCCAGGTCCCCTGCTCCACTTCTATTCTCCCCACCATAGTTCACCAGTTACTATTTTGTATATTATCTGCTATTATTATTATTTTTAAAATTACAACAGAGTTTTAGTCACCATATAGGGACAGATTTCCATGATTGTAAAGAAACTGGAAAAGAGTCAATATAATGTCTTTTGGAAAAAAAAAAAAAAACCCAGAAACTATTCTACATAAGATTTAAGCACTATAGGAAAAGTTGGGTTGTAAAATATAATATTTTGGATGGCTTTCTACATTTTTCTAAAAATGGAGGCAAATTCACCTCCAAAGACTAACCATTATTTATAACCTGAAAAATGAGTCACATTGGAAAATTCTGAATGCATAAACTAACTTAAATATCCATGGTGACATGCTTCATATGTCACTAAATCACCTTCCTCCTTGAGAACTGGCACTAATTCTCAAACACTCAGGACTCTGCAGGAATGTATCCATCTTGGGTTCTGGGGCTCTGAAGAGCACCTAAGGTCAGTGCTCAGGTCTTCTATTTCTGTCTTGATCACCGCATCTCGCGTTCCCGCCTTGAACTCTATAAATATTCCTAACTGACTGGCTTGAACCTCCAGGCTGCTGACTGCAGAGCCAGGTGACTGATTCTCAGAGCAGCGCTGCTCCCCAACTGAGCAGTGCTTTATCGATTAAAATCCAGTCCTGGAAGCTCACTCAGAAGCTACAAGGCGAGACACGCTTTGCAGATGGCAGAGCTCTGATCACTTGCAGAACTGGAAAGTGGCTGGCCTCCTTGAGCCTTCTCCCTTTTCCCTGTTGAGTCAGAATGTCAGAGAGGGGCCTGCCCTCTGTGGAGGGGGGCACGATGGTGGCCAACAGCCAACTCCCAGGATCTGGAAGGTGCCATCCATGCAAGTCTAAGGGGGACCTTCAAGACATGTGGCCAGAGAGGACCCTCAACGCTGTGAAAACACGCCAGGAAGAGCCAGGGATGGTAGGACTGGAGGGGCAGCCATGGGATCTGAAGAACGCTGTGTCTTAACTGAGAGTCTGACAGCGTGAGAAGGGATGATGGGATGCATCGGAAGGAAGAAAGATTTGGGGAGTGATGCCGTACAGAGCCGTAAAAATGGTCCCAGGACACAGTTCCAAGTTGAGGTGGTCCTCGGTCTACAGGGAAGGGGGCTCTATTAAATAGAGTTTTAAAAATGCAGCGCAGAGGTTCTTGGGGGCCTGGCTTTATGCAGAGAACTGGAACACCATGGGGTGAGGGGACCCTGGGACCTGGCGGGGCAGCCTGGTGCACCTGGTGGTTAGCTCAGCCCAGTGCCAAGAGAGAAGGGCCTCTCTCAGCTGTGAGAGACCTCGCAGATGGCCACAAGGACAGGGACTCCTGGCTGTGGGGAGGTGGGGGGATGTGTGAAAATCCAGTGTCTGCGGCTGGAAAGGGGGAACGGACAGGGAGGAGGACCTGGATTCCAAAGAGCCTGCTGCTGGAGGCCACCAGCCAGAGCCTGCTGGAGCTCTGACCAACGTCCCCGTCACTGTCTGTGTGCAAGCCAATGGGGTCGGAGCACACCTCTGTTTACTCCTCAAAGCAGGCTGGCAGCCAGAGCGGCGGGCGCAGATGTTCGGGCAGAGAGGACGTGGTAATGACCACTGGGAGCCAGAGCTAGCAGGGCAGGAGGATTGGGGAGGAGCCGGACAGAGCTGAATGTGGAAAGAGCCAGCTGGCCTCCAGGTAGCGCTCAGGGGAAGTACAACAAGACAGAAGTCAACCCCGAGGGATGTCCTGGCCTGACCTGCTTGTGGGGACCCTGGGCTTTACAGAACAGCAACCCCTGCCTGGCTGTGGTCCAGGTCCTTCCTCACACTTTACCTGGCCACCCACGTGGTCTTCTACCCTATGGAGGCTCTGTCCCTCCAGCCCGTGAACACAGTCACTTGTTTCCATCTTCCAAAGCGATTCCGGATCCTTGAGTCTCCCTCTAGCTACTGCTTGAACTCTTCCAACCCTTAATATCCGAGCTCAGTCCCACAACTCCACTGAAACTGGTTTCTCCTGAGTCACTAATGACCTCCTCATTGTCAAAGCCAATTCGGTTTTTCTTTTCTTACTCCATTTAAATATTCTGTGGTCATTGATGTTAAGCACTGGGGTCTTCTTAAAACCTTCACCTATTTTCCCTGACACAACTGTCTCCTGTTTCTACATCTTTAACTACTCACTCTCAAACGGTTTTGCCAGATGTTTTTAAATTGTTGGTGTTCCCCAGGGGTCCCCCTTGACCCACATCTCTTGTTCAAGATGATCTCTCTAGGGTCGAGTCTCTGGCTGTAGTTTCAACTCCTACTGATACACTGATGCCTTCCAATCTCCAGCTCTAGTCTGGATTCCTTTCCTGGGCACTAGCCCTGTATTTCTGACAGCCAATAGGAGGACTGACACAAAAATGTCCCAACGGCTCCTCAGACCCAAAATATTCAAAATGGTACCCCTCACTTTCTTTTCTTTCTTCCTTCCTCCCTCCTTCCCTCTGTTCCTTCCTTCCCACTCTCTCCGTGCTCCTGCCATCCACCCATTCCCTGAGTTTCTCTCATTTATTTTTTAAAAAATTATTTCTAGTGTTTATTTTGAGACACACACACACACACACACACACACACACACACACACACAATGATCGGGGGAGGGGCAGAGACAGAGGGAGACCTAGAATCCGAAGCAGGCTCCAGGCTCCGAGCTGTCAGCACAGAGCCCGACACGGGGCTCGAACCCAGGAACAATGAGATCGTGACCTGAGCTGAAGTTGGACGCTTAACTGACTGAGCCACCTAGGAGCCCTGAGCTTCTCTCATTTCTAGTGTAAAACCAACTCCATAATATCTAGCAAAGCTTTGAAGAAAAAATCTAAGACGGAAGTTTCAACTCTGACTTAGCTCAGGGGGGAAACCGGAGTGATTGGGACAGATGGGAGGAGGGTCTTGAGAGAAAAGAGAGGGGCCAGAGTCACCCTCACGGCCAGTGAGGCTGCGGGGGTGGCAGTCTTACTTTGCACCTGCACGCTGAGTGGAGCACCCTTTGAGAGGTTTCTGACGTGGGCTGAGGAGAAGGTAAGGAGGGGAATGGCCCTGAGGTGAGCAACACATGATCGGGGGTGAGTGGACAGCTCCCATTCCTTTATACCTGCCTTACTGAGGTGCTTGGCGGCACAAGCAGGTGGCAGCAGCCTTAGTCAAGGTCAAGTGCAAGGGTAAGAAAGAAAAGTGCCACCACAGCCTGATGGATTTCTGGCCAGCACAGTGAGTGGTAGGGAGTAGGTGGGACCAGGTCACAGGGGCTTTTGCAGACGGCAGGTGTTGCAGGCACTGGGATAAATTGGTTGTGGCTGAGGCAACCATGTGGTGATCCAGAAAGCCTAGATTTATGAACTTGCCACCTTGCTGTACTCAAGCTGGAAGGTTCTGGAGAAATTTCTATTTTTTAATTTTTTATTTAGAGATTTCGATTTCAGAGCCTTTCAAAGTCGTCTGTGATCGGCCCCTAGTTACACATTCCCCTGTTCACCTCTCGACCCCTCTCCTCCAACTTCTGAATGTTTGCCCCGGGCGTACTGAGCTGTCTGTGGTTTCCTGATCGTGCCATCATCTCTCACGACACAGCTTTTGGAATAGATTTCTTCCTACCAGGATGCCCAGTTCCCACTTGTGTACGGGTGATCTCTCTGGGGAGCCATTTTCCAGGCTGCATCGGATCCTCCCTGCCCCCAAGTCCCTGTGCTCCGGGTAAGTACCGTGACTGCTTTTAGGGCCATGTTTATCACGTTGGATCATAACTGTCTGTGGACATGTCTACCTTCCTTATTTGTCTGTGGACTCCTTCAGGTCAAGGCGGTATCTAACTCACAAGTGAAGAGTAGGGTCTTATTCACAAATGAATCCCAGAGCCTACCACGTAACCTTATACATAGTGGACATATAAATATTTGTGGAAAAGGAAAGAAGGAAGGACGGAAGGAAGGAAGGAAGGAAGGAAGGAAGGAAGGAAGGAACAACCTAAGGAAGGAAGGAAAGAAGGAAAAGGAAGGAAGGAAAGAAGGAAGGAGCAAACTAAAGGAAGGAAGGAAGGAAGGAAGGAAGGAAGGAAGGAAGGAAGGAAGAAAGGAAGGAAGGAAGGAAGGAAGGAAGGAAGGAAGGAAGGAAGGAAGGAAGGAAGGAAGAGGAAGGAAGGGGAAGGGAGGGAGGGAGGAGGGAGGATAGCATTGTGAGATACAGGTTGTGTAGATCCACGTGACAGGGCAAAGATTCTAACTCGGGCCCATGTGACTCAATCTCCATGCTCATTAACCCCTCCATGCTGCTGCCTCCTAAGGAGCTGGCTTAGCGGCAGAGTCCTGCTGAGGCACCGTGGACTTAGCCCCTGGCAGGAGACCAACAAGACGTTAGCCCCACGTCATTGGGAACGGGGAAATGGGAAGCCCATAACTTGAACCACCTACAGATGCAGTTTGAAATGAAAGAAAAATACCATAAAAAAGAATCATAATGGAAACGTGCACAATCAGTGCTTTTCTCTGTATTGATACAAAGCACTTCATAAACCCGCTGGAATATATTCACTCGTATTCCCCAGGAGGAAACAGAAGACCAGTTTGTTTATTCCCTTGGTAGAGGTGAGTCTCTAAGACCATGAATTCCATGTATTCTTAGGTGAGATTCAGGTTGACTATAAGCTTCTGAATGCCCAGTCTGGTGTTTTGTGATTAGGTTCTGGGTCTAGGATTTGGATTATGCTGAAATATCATCTGCACAAGTCCAGGAGGCCATGGACTTTTGCCTGTTTTTAGACTCTGAAGTAGGTCCAGCACAACAGGGAACAAATACTCGTGAATCTTGTTTGTGTAAACTAGAAGGGAGAAAGTCCTGAAATTCGAGTTCTGGGGTTGGTAACTTACTGCAGGTTCTTTATTTTAAATCCATACCTATATCTTGTCTGACAGATTTACAGCTTCTCCAATCACACCGCGAGTGCTTTGGAACCATGAGAACACTTTCAATATCCTGTATGACAGTGGCATTTTACGCTCTTGGCACAACAGATCTGTCAGGCAAATATTTGTTTTTTTGACACATAGGAAAGCAACCACCCACTTAACTGGGTAAATACAAGATGTGCCAAGCTTGGCTATGTATTTCATCTGTCTCCGCCAGTAAGGATTCATCAGAGATGACATTTCTACAGGGCAAGGATGCGGGCTCAACCAATTTGAATACAGACTACATGACAGTAGTGAGATGTTAAATTAACGCAGGTCTTGGGTAATCCGTATTAACAACTATGTTACCCAGTTCTTTATTTATTAACTAGATTTCAAATTTTATTTCCACTTCAGGACCCAGTGTGCCATATGACATCTGATAATAGTAGCTAATACATGAATGCTTGAGTGCATACCAGACATTGTGCTGAGCTCTTTGTAAGTATTATCTTAATTATGCCAATATATTGTAAGTGTCGGACAATATCAAGGTAAAACACTCTGGGATCTCCTGGGAGAAAGTTGAAGATGATCGGGATCCCCAAGCTGGAGGGGACCAGAAGCCCCTCCCTTACGGCTGCGCCTTCTCAGCATCACTTCCTAAATCCTTTCCCTTTTCTTGATTTCTAAGTGTTCAGACATCCCAATGCCCTCTTCTCCTCCATGTCCATATTCTCTTCCTGGGTCATCTTGTCTAGTCTGGCGCCTCTTATAAGTTCTGTATGTCAGGGATTCCCAATCCGTGAGCTGCGTTTCAAGTGCCACCAGAGAGCCCCACTCACGTGTCTGATGTGATCCCCACAGGCAGCTCTGATGTATCATGGCCATGGTCAAACTCTTGGTTCCCCACCGTACCCACTGCTCTCCCTGTGTTCCTCATCCCGGAAAATTGTAACACCGTTCTCTAAATGGCTCAGGTTGCGTGCTTTGGAGTCATGCTTGACTCTTTCTACTTTCGTCTACTTCACCGCACGTCCTGATGGCTTGCTCTTCAAACTTCGTGCTAATTCGGACTACTTCTCCCCATCACTACTACCACCATCCAAGCCATCATCATCTCTTGACTGGATTCTTTCATAGTGTCCCATATACCCTTGTCCTCCTATAACCTATTTTCCATACTGTAGTTACAATGATCCAGTTAAAATATCAGTCAGATCATGTCACTCCTCCACTTAAAATGCTCAGGTGGGCTTCCCATATCTCTCAAGGTAAAAGCCAAGGTTTTCATTATCATCCACAAGGCTCTAACTCATCTGTGTCCTATTATTTTTCTGGATCCTTTTCCCCCCTCTCAACCCACTCCAGCCAGACTGCACCTCTTTGTTACTTTTCAGACACCAAATCTGTTCCCACTTCAGAGCTTTGGACTTGATATTTTCCTGGCCCAGAAGGGCCTTCAGCCAGGTAATAGGTCTGTTCCCTGCACTCATGCTGTTATTTGCTCAAGTGCCGTCTCCTCCAAAGGGCTGTCTAGGATCAGCACCCTAAGTTCCAGGCCTCCGTCACTCCCTGCCCTCTTGTCCCAGTTTATTTCTCTCCATAGCAGCTGTCACTACCTGACATTCTGTCTTGTGGTTTATTTGTTTATGGTCCGTTCCCCACAATGGGTTGCAAAGGCCTTTCCTTTCTGTTCACCCCTTTAACCTCTAGCACCTTGCAACTTCTTGGCACGGAGCAGGTGCTCACCGATGACACGATGAGTGACCGAATGCACTGTCTGGTGGGGCACCTTCATTCAAAGAAGCTGGAGCTCACAGCCTCATGAGCACGGGTCTGGCAGAGGCAGGGCTGGCATACTGACCACTGTATTATGTCTCAGCATTAACTCTCTCGCAGCACCCAAGGATTCCTTTTTCATAATTGCTGTAAATTGTTAAATGATAATTACCAAGCCTATGCGGGGGGGGGGGGGCGCGGGAAGTGTATAATGTTTTGCCTATGGAGGTCCTCACGGTTGATGAATTTAGCGGCACATGAATAAGAGTAGCAAAAATAGTTAACAATGATGACAGTGATACCTATTTATGTTTAACCTCTTTCCTTACCTTCCAGAATACTGAGCTCCACCTGTTAGGTGATCTCTGGATCTGGAAATCATCCTCATACTCCCAGATCGAGGTGGTACAGTCCTCATAAAACTGGTGCAGGTAGGACCGGACTCCGTAGCGCTGGTGCCCGCCCTCAGGAGCGGCCTGTGCTTGCTTGGTGCCACAGATGTTGCTGCAAGAACTCATCCTTCCCAGCTGGAATGACAACATCCACAGCCGTCAGCCCTATGAGCTCTGGCTTCAGGATTAAAAGGCATATTAAAGGTGCGAACCAGGCTGAGTAACGTTAGTCTGCTTGAAAGTCTATTTGAGCTTTTCTTAAAAGCTGCTCTGCTTTTCTACTTAATGCAAAATTACCCCCAAACACTCAATGACTAGAAACTGGTTCTCCATAAATGAAATGAGACATAATAGCACAGCTCGCTTAAATTATGCAGAAACTTAAGCATGAAGCACACGAACGAAGGCAAGAAGCTGAGATTTTTCACTGTGTTGACAAGAAATCTTTAATCCCTTAGAATCCAGTCGTCTTTACACTCACATGTTAAAGAATTAGGCAGGTATTCTCCCTTGATACAGATGGAATTTGTCTTGGGTTGTCCTCTCGGATGCTTAACCATGTTCCCTTGTGGAAAATACATAGTTTACTCTTAGCAGTTTGCAGTTTTGCTTTTAGATCTCACGGATCGTGTTCTAACATCTTAGCTAATGGTCAGGTTGTACAGAAGCTGTGTTTGAAAGCTGCTGAGCAGCGACGCTTCATGCTTTATTAATCACAAATGGCTCCGCCAATAATTTACACCTCACTGACTCTAACACTAGATATTTAAGTCGTTATTTGTGGATACATCTGTCCATGTGGGATGATAGAGCATAATGGACAGGGTAGACCCAGCCTTTCACTGCGTTGCATGAAGTGGCTAGTATATGCGAGAAGCCAGGGGATTGTTAATGAAAGTACATACTGGGTGGGCTGTTTGGGTCTCTGTCTTCTTAAAGATGACAATTTCTGAGGTTCCAGTGTGGCTCAGCTGGCTGAGCATCTGACTTTGGCTTAGGTCATGATCTCACGATTTGTGAGTTCAAGCCCCACGTCAGGCTTTGTGCTGACAGCTCAGAGCCTGCTTTGGATTCTCTGTCTCCCTCTCTCTCTGCCCCTCCCTCACTCTCTCAAAAAGAAATATTAAAAAAAGATGGTAATTTCTACCTGATTTGACCTAATCAATACCCTTGGAGAGAAGCATTTGGTTATTAATTCATGGGGAAAAAAAAAGGAATTGTTGAGAGACAGCAATTTTGGTGAGTGAGGGAATTCTCAGTAATTCTCTGTTTGATATTTGGTTTCCTTCTCTCCATATAGGCAGATAAATATGTAGCTGGAAATGTGAATTACTTGTTTAGATTTTCCAGTTATCCTCCAGATGGTTTCCCTGTGTGGACATAGTCTCAAAATAACAAAGTGAGGAACGATGTAGAAGGGGTCTCTCAGAGCCTGCCTTGTAATCCAGGCTAAGAGAAGACATATTAAATGTTTCTAATTACTTATCAAGAAACCACATAGTGATATGTATCTATCAACAAGGAAAAAATTAACCTAAAGGTCTGGCAAGTGCCCCTGTGTGGCCACTTAGTTTGGTTGGATAGAATTATGGGGCAAAAATCAAAGTTGAAGCTAGAGATAGTTAGCATTTTCCTGCCCCATGGCCACAAAGTGAATCCATAAGATTATCTTGTAAGGTGTGCTGTTAGCCAAAAACAGGTTCTGGTTAGAAAATGTAGTCAAATTCATGAAGAAAATGGCCCCGATCTTAGAAAAATGATGCAGACATATGCTACTGATGGTGACCTCATATTTTTAAGTGTCGGTCACTATGTTTAGTGACTTTCTCCGTTTCAGATATGGCAGCCAGGAGAAATCACCCAGGAAGAGAGGGCAGGGGAGGAGATTAAAAAATTTCTTTTCTAACTTTTAAACATTTCAGAAGGATATTATTTCATAAAAAAATAAAGATTTTAGAATGTACTTTGCCTGATTAGAGCAGCAAAGCCTTATGCATCTAATTCTTTTGTTAACCTAGTTTCCATATTTTAAATGTTAGGATGATTTCTTCAGTACTTTTAACTTGATGCTTACACAATGAAGATGATTAATAAGGGCCTATTACTAATGATACATCAGTAGGATAATTTTAAAGGCACTTTCTTTTAAGACATTGTAATAAAATTTCGGTCAAGGGATGAGATGGGAGCCATATGTTACTAATTCTGCTTGGTCATTGAAGAAACTGAGGCACAGGAAAGTCATCTGCTAAAGGCCACACACCATGAGTCAGGGAGGAGACGAAATGTGACATTACCGAAGGCTGGAGTATGGACTGAATCATGTACTTGCATCATCAGACCAACTCATCCAAATATGTATTTTCAGGTTTCCTACAAAGCCTCAGAGACTTTAACATGGAAAAAGGACAAAAATAGGACAGGAGCAAAAAGAAATCCCTCATAGCAATAGTAGGAGTTATTTTCCTTCGATGCTGAAGTCATTTTTTCCCTCAGAGTTGAGCTTCGATGCAGAGCAGGGCTGTGACATACCGTAGTCCTTCCTGCACAGCTGTTTCCGATACACAAGGTCGAATGTTTCTGCTTTATAGGATAAGACTCAGTGATCCAACTTTGTTAAACAAAATATGGACAAAATCATAAAAGAGACAGGAAGTGTCATAAAACAAATGTTCTTTGGGCTTGAGTGATGGAAGGCTCTACTCTATGTCGGAATGGATTTTCAGTGATGTTAGATACATTCCAGGAAAGGAATCCCAATGAGCCTTATTTACTTCTCCAGACATACAGAGCACAAGAACATGGCCTATGCTGTGCTAACCACACAGGACACAGAATGGGTTCTAATCCTTGTTCTTGATCTACAATGTATTGGTCATGATATGGCAGGCAAACTCATTAACCTCCCTGGGCTACGGTTTTATCCCCCTTAAAATGAGATGGTTGAGCCAGATAACCTCTAATTCCTTTGAGATACTTTTCCAGGAGTCTTTGGTCATGCGTTTACAGAATAAGTCAATTATTTTTGTGGGATAAACACCTGGGTCTACTGTTTTCCCAACCTCCTCCCATACTCTCACTGATGGATTGTCAGACTGTCCCCAATTCTTGACCATTATAGTACACGTGAAGCTTCAGTTTAAAAGAGCGTATAAGCTATTAGTAAGGCCAATGACTTGGTATTAAGTAGCCTAAATGGCTGTGTATTGTTTGTCTGTTTAACAGCTTACTTCAGTATTGCGTATGTGGCCTAAATGGTACAGGTGGATCGCAGGTATTACAGGTTAGGCTCCAGATGCCCAGAAGAAAGCAAACATCGTATAAAACAAGTCAAATGAAGGTTTTGGTTTCCCGGTGCATATAAATGTTATTTTTACATGATCCCGTCGTCTATTAAGGGTGCAATAGCATTATGTCTAAAAACATGCACGTACCTTAAGTGAAAAAAAAAAAAAAACTTCATTGCTAAAAAATGCTAACCGTCCTCTGAACTTTCGGCGAGCCATAATCTTTTTGCTGGTGGAAGGTCTCAGCCTCAATGATGGTGGCTGCTGACTGATGAGGGTGGTGGTTGCTTAAACGTGGGGATGGCTGAGGCAATTTCTTAAAATCAGACAACAATGACGTTTTCCACATCAATGGACTCTTTCTTTGAGTTGAACTCTAGTGACCTCTCTAGAGGTGTTGATGGGCCTACTTTCAATATTGTTGTGTCTCAGGGAATAGGGGGGCCCAAAAAGAGGGAGACAGATGGAGGGACGGCTGTCCGTAGAAGAGTTAGAAGACACAGGACATTTATTGGTTAAGTTGCTGCCTTATATGGGGATACTTCCTGGCACCCCAAAACAGTTAGAATAGTAGCATCAAAGATCACTGATGGCAGATCACTGTAACAAATAGAGCGGTAATGAAAAAGTTTGATTAAATCTTACAAGAATCACCAAAAATGTGACACAGAGACAGGGAGTGAACAAACGTGTTGGGAAAATGGCGGCGATAGACTTGTTTTCTGCAGGGTCACCACTAACCTTCAATTTGTAAAAAAACACATTCTCTGCGATGCACATTTAAGCAAAGCGCGCATGAAATGATGTGTGCCCGTAAGTCCCTGGGGATCTTAGAGGTGCCATACATCTTTCCAAATATGTAACTTATTGGATTCATTCTTAGAGGAGAATGATCACGAGAAAGAACAGGAGTTTTTTTTTTTTTTTAATTTTTTTTAAATTTTTTTTAAACGTTTATTTATTGTTTTGGGGACAGAGAGAGACAGAGCATGAACGGGGGAGGGGCAGAGAGAGAGGGAGACACAGAATCGGAAACAGGCTCCAGGCTCTGAGCCATCAGCCCAGAGCCCAACGCGGGGCTCGAACTCACGGACCGCGAGATCGTGACCTGGCTGAAGTCGGACGCTTAACCGACTGCGCCACCCAGGCGCCCCAAGAACAGGAGTTTTAAAAGATATCATGTGACAGTGAGGATTTTGGTACAAAAACCTTACATTCCTCACAAGGAAGCCAGTAACTTTTTGTCCCAATAAAGAAAATGTTACACATATTTATTTATGTATGTAAAAAAATTTTTTTAAAAGACATTTATTCATTTTTGAGAGGCAGAAACAGAGCACGAGCCAGGAAGGGGCAGAGAGAGAGAGGAAGACAACAGAATCCGAAGCAGGTTCCAGGCTCTGAGCTGTCAGCACAGAGCCTCAGAGCCCGATGCGGGGCTCAAACTCATGAACCGTGAGATCATGACCTGAGCTGAAGTCGGGCACTTAACCGACTGAGCCACCCAGGTGCTCCTAATGCTATGGCTATTTAGAATCTACTTGGTTGACTGACACCTCTACTATCATAAAGAGGATATATGGTGTCACTTCATAAAGTCACTTGAAAAGCTGGGTAATTAGTATGTAATAAACTTGGGCTGATAAGGAATGGAAGGTATGTACAAAGGCTTTTTAGCTGGGCTCAGCATGTACTTAGTGAGCAAGTTTTCATGAGAAATCTGGTGTTTGCAATCTGGATAGCTAGAGTAGCAGCTGCAAAAACAGTAATGTCGTATCTGTGACTGTCGTTGAGTGACGGATTCTGGAGGGCTCTTTTCTTCAGAGAAAGCCTTAACATCCCAGGAGGTGTGTGAATGGGGGGCATGGGTGGTGAGTGGAACTCTTCTCCAGGGTTGTACTTAAATGAGTCCATGTGAGTATTCCTTTTATAAACACCCCAGGGAGCCTGTTGTGTCCTGGATGCCAGCATGGCCATCATGATGGAGAACAGGCAGCCTTAGTATCTGGCTGTTTGGTCATCTATGAAGACGGACTTATTTTCATTCTCCGGGAAGGACGTTCTAGGTGTTAATAGGTGAGGATCCATCCATGGTTTTCTTCTTCTTCTTCTCCTTCTCCCCGTCTCCTTCTTCTTTATTTCTTTTTTAATGTTTATTGATTTTTGAAAGAGACAGAGGCAGAGTGCCAGTGAGGGAAGGGCTGAGAAAGAGAGGGAGACACAGAATCTGAAGCAGGCTCCAGGCTCTGAGCTGTCAGCAAAACTGACTGAGCCACTTTGGTTTTCTTTTTATAACCTGTCTGTGGTATCTGTCTCAACTGTATGCAGTTATACATTAAAATGGGCATTCAATTCTTGGCAGTACAGCACACCTATCATGTCCCCCAGACCCACAGGCAGAGACAATCAGATCTTCACTCCCCACCCAAACTCTTCTGAGAGACCTCCTGGAATTAGCACATTCAATGTCAGCCCTCTATTACTCTTTATCTTCTCGTCCAAATTTCTTTCTTTTCATAGTGCTTGTTACTATCTGGTGCTCCATTACGTGGTCTATTTGTTAATGGTCTGACAGACTGTGTGCTTGATAGACTGTGAGCTTCATGAGGGTAGGGGCTTTTCCTGTCCTGTTGACAAGCACTTTGAGTTGAAACTTCTTGGCACAAAGCTGTACATGGGTTGGTGCGGATGATGGACTGAGTGGTCCTTCCTTTTTCATTCCTCCCTTCCTTCATTGTTTTTATAGCACTAATCATGTGCAAGATTATGAGAGGATAATAAGATGAGTGGGGCAGTCTGCTCTCAGTGGACACTTAGATTAGATGGAGAAACGCTTCTGAAGCAAGAAATGCAACAAAAGGGGGCACCAAAACCAGGTATTTGCAGTGATTGGTGATTTCTCTGTGCAAATGCTAAGAATGCCTTGAACAATTCCTCTGTCAGCAAGTAAACCCATTTTTGTATTATTATGATCTCAATGTCTACCAATACATTACAGTACCAATTTGCTGGAAATTTGAATTTCAGTCAAGTAAATGCAATTACTTTTTATTTTATTTGGAAAAGGTTCATAGCCATGGAAACAGAAATAAGTCTTTATGCCTCATGAAACTCCAAGAACACCACAGACTTTATATTATTTGTCTTCATGGTCTCCTTGAGAGAAGAGAGGCAGAAAATTGAGGCGCCAAAGAGATTAGTGTTTTCCATGGCTCCATGTGTGAGTCAGTGGTGAGGCCAGGCACGGGCCCTGTTCTATTTATTCTCTTTGAAATATCATTCAATTTTTCATACTGCTTTTCTCTCCCATAAAATCATTCTGAGATAATGAGAGTGAAGTTGCCATTAGAGCCACTTTTCCACAGAGCCAGTGCTGCAAGGTATAGGCACAGACCTGATTTAGATCATCGATCCAACACCAAACCAAAAAGCCAATTTGCTTAAAGGACTCAGTTAGCCTCAGTGTGGACGCAGGAAGGCATGAGAGCCTGCTAACAGGTTTTTCATTTTTTAAATCAGGCATTCTGGAATCGCATAGGCATGACCTCAAAACTTGAAAATGTGTTTCTACCAACAGATCATTTCAGAGGTATTTTATTGTCTTGGAACAGTACCGGTAGGGATTGTGGCTCCTTATGATGAACTTTTTAATACCTTCTAAGTCAGGGGATATGTAGCACTTCGACAATTTTTTAAAAAGGGATAATGATATGCAATAATCTTATTACTTTACTTCTTCAAGATGTGTTTTTAAGTAAGGCATACAACGTCAAAAACCAAATGGAGAAGAGAAAATCTATAATCTCCTTAAACCTCTTATCTACATGCAAACCAGAAGGTGCTTAGGAATTTACATGTGACAAGGTTTGAGTCTCACCTTTGAAGTTTTCCGCTTCCTCTTCTCCTTCTCCTTGTTAGTCTCTGACCTTTCTTTCTTAACGGCACATCCTTCAAACCTACTTAAGGAAAAAAAATCTCTGCAGAATGCGATACAGATACAAATCTAAATTTCATAAGCCATTCTTATGACCTGTAGAGAGTCATTTTAATGTTGACAAACATATTGATAAAGGACTTCTTGTTGAAGAGTGGGGAGATACTTGTTGTCACAAAAGTATTCATATTTTATAACTTTTCAGGGGGTTCTCATGAGACTTTTACAGGGTAGATGAGACAACATAAATGAAAGGGCTTTGTAAACTATAACACACTATACACATGCTATTCTTATTTTGGTGCAATTCTATTCCACTACTCAATAATACCAACTAGACTAATTCATGTGTATTTTAAAAATTCTAAATACAAAGTTTGTTTGCTCCCTGGGTACTCTAGAACTGATTCGTTGCCTGTTCCATTATATTGTAAAATACATTAACCTTATAGCCATTGTATTTTCTGATCTGTTTACATGCATTTTAGACTTCTTAAGGTTCTTTAGATGATTTACTCATTGGGTTGATTTTTACTCCTATATCCATTTCTTCCTATCAGGATCATTTTACTTTCCATCTGCCTAAGAAAAGCAGGTGCCCATGCAAGATTTAATTAAAAAGCCATTGCCAGCTATACAACTATTGGCTTCCTACATTACTCTAATCATGAAATAAAATAATAGCTGGGTGATGTTTTTCAAGAGGTCATTAAAAATTCTTTCTGAAGAATACTTCTCCATCCATTTGCAAGAGAACCTCAAAGACTTGAGGTGAGCAAACCTAGGTGAGGCCTGACAAACTGTGTTTAGTATTTCCCAGTTTGAGTTGATACGAACCACAGTCAAACCTTCTTCAAGACTCATTTCTTTGCTCTAAAATTTTGTTTTGCAGGTGGTATGTGAGCAGATTTTGGTGAGAAAAAGGCAAATTTTATTAGAATCCTGGATCTGGATAAGTAAAAGAAAACAAGTCCTCCCCCCCTCCCTGCCCTCCCTCCTTCTCTCTCTCTCTCTTTCTCTTTCTCTCATCAGTGCCTGTCTCTCTCATTTAAACGTCCTTTCATTTTATCTGTCGCCTTCCCCTTTTCTCTGAAGGAAGTGACTCCACACAGGCCCTTCACTAAAGGCTGGCCTGGTCTGGAGCCCAGGGATCTCTCCAACGTGCTGAAAACATTTCTGCTACAGAGCCAGGAGCCAGTAATTAAGTAGACACCAGCTGTTTAACTCCAGCTCTGTTTTCTTTGAGGTCATCAGCTTTGGTCTCACCCCCACCCAACTCCCCTTTCTAATTAACACAAAGAAGTAGGTCCTGAGATTATATCGAAGCACTCACGTATCTTTGAATATGGCAAAGGAATGGGGAGGGCAAGCGAGGGTTAAATTCAGCTCGGAAAACAAATCAAACCAGCTTTGCAAACTCCAAATACGTACATTTGACTCTTACCTAATATATAACTTTTCTTTTCTCCCAGGAAAGTTTTCCCTGTGTACCTCCCCACTTCTTACGTAACACAAACCACAAACCACCAAAGCATGGAGTTGGCGACCCCTAATTTGCATGTGTGCACGGATTTTAATGTGCATGCTTTTTATAGAGATGTGTCCACAAATAATAGACGTGAATCAGTAAGGAGTGCGTGTGACAGACACAGAAAGAACATGAATATTTGTGCGCGAGGAGAGAGGAAGGAGAGAGAGAAAGGGAGGAGAGGGAGAACCGGAGAAAGACGAATGGAGCGTAGAAAACCGCTCCTGGGGTCCGCAAGGCTTTACCTGTCCCCTCCGATCCCCTGACCCGTGGAGCAAGTGCAGCCAGCTAGCCGCAGATCTCTCGCTGGGGTCCCATCATCGCCGCCGCCTTCGCCGCCGCCGCCGCCGCCGTCGCCGCAGCTCCCGCCTTGCGGAGCTCAGCCCGCTGGTGATTGACAGCTGGGCGGCCCGCGCGCCCGAGGCCCGCGCAGCTGCGGCGGCCGCCGGAAGGGCCACGTGCGTCCGCCGGGCGCGCTCCGGCGGCGC